CCCCAAAACCCCAAAACCCCAAAACCCCGGAGGGATGGATGGGGGTTGATGGGGAAATGAGATGGTTTTGAGGGGGTGGAGATAGGTTAGATTAGGAATTAATGGTTTTTGGATGGTTCAAGATAAATGTGTAGTTGGTAACCATCCCTTACTGGCTAACATCCCTCACTGGCTAACATCCCTCACATCCGTCCAATAGATCCTCCTCACAATCTCTCTAACTCTCTTTCCAACTTCCCTCTCCCTCTCTTCATAATCCACCTCCACAACACCTTCAACTCCCTTACACACCTCCTTCATTACCTCTTCCACTTCCTTCACCGCTCACCCTACCTTCACTCTCACTACAGTCTTCACAAACTTGGCTGTACTCCAGATCTGTTCTATAATCAGAGACAAATGTGCTGAAGAAGAGAGTATGAAGGAGTGATGGACTTTGGTGCGGGAGGGAAGGAGGTGTTTGCAGTGTGATACTAGACTTGAGAAGTGGTGTGATGGGTCTGATAGGGAAGATTGTATTAGTTCATTTGATCTGGAAGTGAAAAATAAGCTTATTTGGCAGGTTGATGGGGTCAAAGTCAAAACTTTAACCCAGGTTCATAGTTTTAAGGCGGCATTGGGGTTTTCTCATGTAGAGATAGGGGAAATATCAGTACTATAGATACTCTCAGAAGTTTCATGAATATTGATGCTGGTTATCTTAGCAAATGGGATAAAGAATACACTTGAGTTTTCTTCTATTTGATCTTTTAGTGCTTCTAGCACGGTAGAATACTTCTCACATTTGAGAGACGAGGAATTAACTTCAAAGTTTGCAAAGTCTGGGTCCACGATCATTAAATATTTCTCATCATTATAGTTTCAAAGCCATTTCTGATTGATGCCATTAAACTCAACATTAAGCACTGTTCCAAACGTCACCTTCCCTGTTTCTTCCTTATTCGCATAAATACACTCGCTTCACTTCACCTCACTCCTTAACTCCCCATCTGACCCTTTTACTCTTCTAGCCCAGACCAGCTTCACCACTCACTTGAGTTTTGGTCTAACAGAAGTCATTTCCTTGGTTCATAAGTATGGAGTCGTTAATGAGCTTGACCAGTTAATAAGAATGAGCGTGTGAAGAGATTTGAAGAGTTTGAGGCTTGAAAATAGAGTTTTGAAGCAGAAGAGAGGAGAGGTGAAGTTGAGAGTGAGGGTCTGGATGTAGGTGTGGAAGTAAGATTTGGAAGAGAGGGTCTGGTCGGGCATGAAGAGATAGGTGTGCACTGATAAGTTAGTGATGGGGGTTAGGACGTATTGGATTACCTTTGATGATGTATCAGATATGTTTTGATATTTATGAAGATTTTGGAGTGGAAAGGTATCTATTGCATTCTGGCCAACATAAGTAACTGTATTTCCGTTGATACTAAATTTCTTACTCAACTTTAAAATTTCAGGAACTTGGTAAATCTCAAAATCGTGGTCTAAAACTGACTCAATCTTTTTGAACCTAATCTTCTGTCCAAAGATCGCAACTAAACTTTCAAAGAATTCTTTATGTCTGATAAACTTGGCTATACTGCATTCTTGGGTATTCGAGTTCACTCAGATTGACTTAACTCTAAGTTTTCCTGTAGAATAGAGGCTTTGGAGTCCTTTAAGAAATAAACTACTATTTTGAGGGATTTTAGAATTTATATTGAAAGTAAATTCTTCGTAATCCATTGACTTTTGGAGCTCTTCGAGGTCTGAATACTGGAGGTTTATGCATCTGTGGTCACGCTTTAGGAATAAATCCCAGTTCTCGCCATTATTAAGGAGCAACTTTCGTGAGGATGAAGAGAACTTCTTAAGGATCGTTTTGACTTGTTTCATGTTGCCTAAGTACTGGAGGATGGCTAAGTTGTTTCCAAGCGTACAAAGGATTCCTCCAGAAATCTTGCTTTTTATCTTCCTTTTTGGAATAAATTTCATTGATTCTGACTGAAAATTGTTGGAGAAATAGTTAATAGCGAATTATTCAAATTGTATTATAGAAAGACGCAGTTTTAGAGACAAAATAATTTAAAGATTCTAAAAAATTAGTGCATTCTCTAAACCTTACAAGTCTTTTTATCAGAAATTATTAAAAAATTGTAATCTTCTTAAAACAAATAAAATTTTAATTTTCAATAAACCTCACCAATCTCGGGGTTTTGGGGTTTTGGGGTTTTGGGG